TGTTCAGTAAGTCAGGAAACGGGTTTCTATTGTTCTCATTGTTTGTAACAATGAGAACAATAGAAACCCGTTTCCTGACTTACTGAACATTCTGTATATTTATAATTTATATGAACTATATTTTATTTTAGTGATTTTTTTAAAAATAATTTTTTTCTTATCTTTTTGCACGTATTTATGTTTACCCGGTATTCCCCCGTGATAGTGGGAATACCGATCATTTGCATTAAAAAAATATATTTATAAGATTATGTTTTAAAAATTTGAGACTTTGACATAATGCAGTCAATATATTTATGCATCCATTTGTTGTAATAGCATAACATTTAGAGTCTTAGAACCAGAGACATAAGAATTTTTACTAAGTTGACCGTAGTTCCCCAGTCACCCCTACTAGTTCGATTCTTTGTCGTTTTGCTACTTTCGTCGTGTGGAGAAAATTACTTTTAAATAATAGTGAAATTATTTTACAAGTTGCATTAAAAATTAATACTTAAATTATTCTAATGATGCTTTAAGTTATTTATAACGCGTTAGATTTACTTAAGAAGAAATTTCGTTACTTTTTTTTCATATTTCCATCTAACAAAACAATTGTAAAACTTTATAACCAAAAATATCAGATTGGATGTTATAAGAGTTCATGGGTATTAAGTATTACTTTTAGAATATTTAAATGAGAAATTTTAAAAGTTCCTTAGCATACTAACTTTTCCTATGCTTCTCATTCGCTCTAAAATATTAAGTACACTTTAGAATAAACTACTAGTTTGATCCATTAACAAGTATTAGATCTATTTAACCAAGTACATTATCCTATTTCTGGTAGGGTAAGATGATGAATTCAGTGTTTCTCAAAATCAATCTCATATAGCAGCACCTTCTAGTTAGCATAAAATTCTCATTTTGTATACAATATTTGCTAATATAAACACATGTGCGCGTACGTTAATTATTGTAGTGATTAGAAATTCATATTTAGCGTGTTTTTATGTAATGTTTAAACAAATACAACTCCTAACTTCGTCTAAGACTTTCACTAATGAAGAAATCCTGAGAAAACTATTGAAAAATTATAAATCAAGGTCCCCAGTTTAGCAAAAAAAATTTGAAGTCCACCTGTGATAATGTTATTATGAATTTTTATTCATGCGTTAATGCATATTCATGTTATTTAAGCCAGAAATCTTTTTCTAAGTAAGCTAAAAATATTTTTTTTGTTAAACTCATCAAAAAATTTTAGAGATGCATCAAATACAAATATATTCTGTGGATATATTCTTCCACAACCTATGATTAACATCACTATCATAAAACGCTTCAATGACATTGTTTAAAAGATACAAAAAAAAACTATAATTTTAACGTAAATATTACAAAGTTTTCACTAAATAGGCCAGTCAACAAAGGAAAAATGGCGGAAAAAATTCCCAACCAAATTTTTTTTTTTTTAAAGTTGAATTAAGATATGTATAATGACATACTAAAAGTCCTCATTGATGGAATTGAGCTTTTTTTACAGCCTTGCAAAAGTTCAAAAATATGAGCTTTTTTTCATTTAATATTTAACTTACAAAAAAAAGTTTCGTAAAAAAGTTATGTGTGCATGTGTGAGTTGATTTATTTATAGTATCATTAAAGAGTAGTGTATATTAAGATACAACCGATAGAGTAGGTAATTGATTTGACGCTATATTGTTAAAACCCAACCAAACGCTAAATTGTACATTTCCAAACAACAATTATATTATATCAATTGCCACCGGAATTCTGGTAATCTTCTTCTTTTTCTTCGCCTTAATCCCAACTATTTGGGGTCGGTCATCCTTATCCTAGACTTCCACTTGACACAATCTTAATAAATTTTATATATCGTTCAAACTAGTACTAGCGCGGTCGGGACGAGCACATATCAGTAGCATAGTTAGGGTTTTGTTATTTTGGAGGAATAAATATAAAGACATTTTTATACCTCTTACAAACGATAAAAAAATTCATCACGTAAACATTTTTACTTGCGGAATCTATCCCACTTCAAACCCATCCCTCCCGGAACAGGAGTCCATCATTACCTAACATCGGCACTTGTTCAAACCAATTTTATACTTGAGTTTTTTTATGAGATTTTCTTTAATAGCATATTAAAATTAATGTTTTGTCTTTAGTAGATTTTATTAAAACTTTATAACTATCCAACTGTTATTAAAAAGTTACTACAATTTTAATATGAAGGAAATTTTTTTGATTTATTCCTTTTTCAACATTTGTCTAATTTTGAGATATTTTTTTAAATATCTAAAATTGAAGGACATCTTTTCAATTATTAAAAATTATATTTTTAATAAGTTCAAGTTCGAATTTTTTTGCCAATTTTTGACAAGCAAAATGGATTTAGTGATTTTTGAGATGTAAAAAAAAAATTTTGTTTAATGACTATATTTTAATCAATAACTTGTTTTATAGTCTTATAGGGTGGGACTTTTTAATTTTTTTTGGGTAGTACTACAAGCCTTCATTAAGGATTCTGTATAGTCAACATTTCTTAAACAAAATATAGTAAAAAATATTTTATAAATAAAATATTACATTTCACTGTTTTTTACTTAAATGACTAATTACTTACAAAATAAATGTTATTTGGACAATTTATTATTAATTATTAAGTACATTTAAAATTTTTTAATTTAGTATATATTTAAAGGGCGAGACTATTACGAAATATTTTCAAAAATTGATATGAAAATAATAATTGATGTGCCGAATGGCTATTTTAAAACTACTCTTCAGACAAATTCAGTCATTTTGATGATAATGCCCACAACTGGACTATAATCGGGATTTTTTAGAGTATAATTGAAAAATAATGATCCAGTAGTTTTATACACGGAGTGACAGACAGACAAAACAATACACATCATAGTAAAAACATATTATTTTTATAATTTGGGGGACTGAGGCAATATTAGGAGACTAAGATTCCTCTATACCAATTCAAATTACGGCTATATGGGGCGTAGGTACAATGGCTCTATCCAAATTACAATGTTCTAGTGAAATGGCTCCCTTTATAATTTCTTCTGGATCAACATCTCAAAATAACATTATTATAAAATTAATATTATTTTCAGCTTCACTTAAGACTACTAAAATACAAGATTTATATTTATTTATTTTATCAATATTTATCATTTAATGCATCAACTCAATAATATTTAATAATGCTAAAAACAATAATATCACATGTGTATTTGTTAACAAGAAATACCTAATTACATTTCCACCAGTAATTTATATAAGTTTAATGATAGTGCATCATGCAATATACAATACAAATAAATCAAAATCATTATGTACAAAAATATAAGTATTAAAAAAATAATTAATCCATCACAATTGCTCATAAATTCAAAATATTTTTACAAAAGTATAAGATAGCAAAATTAGTTAATAGTCTACACAATACTACAACTACAGAATATAATTAAGTTAAAATCTAGTTATGTCAATTTTTTTTTATTATATAATATAATTTGATGAATACTCAGAAATGTACACCAACTAATAGAAAATTAAAAATATTGAATTATTAATGAACATCAACAATATAATTTATCTCACTAAATGTGTTCAACAAAATTATTATAATAGACCAAAAATAGGCAAAAACTATTCAATATACAATATGCAATGTGATAAAAATAATATTGATGTAAAAAATTTGTTGTGATTATTAAAAGTAACAATATTGTTTATAAAATGTAGCATAGTATATACAATAAATACAATTAATACAAAAATGTACTTTATATATATATATGTATAAATTGATTTCAATAATTAAATTGTTGAATACTGAAAGCAAGTAAACATTGGTAACAAAACTATAATTTAAACAATTATTCAGGACTAAATTAGTAATAGGGTAAACTAAAATACAGTAAAAATAACATTAGAATTTAAGTACAATATGCTATCTAATTCGGAAATTATAGTTAAATAGCTAAAATATTGTTTATTACAATATATTGTTTTAAAATTAATATACTGTTACCATAATATACAGTATTTTCAGAAATATTCTTAAATGTAAGAAGAAAATAAATAATTATAATATTTAAAGAAAATTTTCCTAGACAAAACATTCATAAAAGACTAGGAATTTTATAATCCTTTAGAAGTATGATTTTCATTCATTTTCCAAAGAGGAGGAGTTCCCCTTGTGATAGTTGAATTCATCCGGTCAGTTGTTAATCTTTTTGTGTTAATAAATTTTATTAACTTTTGTGTACCTGAGCCCTGACCAGAAAAATTAGGTTTTACAAGAGAGAGTCTTACATTAGAAGTGAAGGGGGCAACTTTTTTTAATGAACTTTTGTCAGAAATGATTTTAATCTTACTAGACTTATTTATAGATTTCACTAAATTTGATGAACTAGTATTTGATAATACATCAATAACCTTAGGTAAGATAGAAACTGGAGTTAATCTTTCAACAATATTATTAGTATTTACACATTCAACTTGCTTTTTTACTTTATTTTCACATATAAGTTTATTACTTTCATTTGAAGACATCTGAAAATATTTAACATTTTGTTCACTCATGCAATCTTTTATTTCATTAATATTTCTATCATCAACCATTATTTCTGTTACATTTGATTTTTTTATAGTATTATCTTCCAAATAAGTATTATCATTATTATATTTACCATAATTTTTCTCCGTAAAGCTAATAATTTTAGATGATAATGAAGTTATTGTTTGATGATTACTTTTTTCATTTTTATCTCGACCTACTACTTGTATTTCTTCTTCATCATATTTTTCATCTTCTTCGTCATCAGCTATCACAAGGTGACCATCTATTCTTGCTTTCTCAATAGCAAGCAAATGATTTACTAAACCTTTGGAACTACTATATGGCTTTTGAAGTTCACTAAAAAGTTCAAATGTATCTTCATCAACATACGCTACATGATTTTTAGGTTGTCTTATTGGTCTCTTGTTTTTTGTTAAAGAAATTTGTGAAGATGATTCTGGGTCAATAATTTGTTTGCAATTAATTGAATTATTTGAATTTATAGTCACAGGAGACGACGAAACTATTTCTGATGCACATGGTTCTACTTCTTTAAGTTTTGTTTTATTTAAAGTAGAATTCTCAACTAATAAATATGAAGGTAACGTGTAATTGTTATACAAACAAATTCTACAACAGAAATAAATATTACATATATATTAATTGTTTTTAAAACTTTTAAGTGAACTATTGTTATTTTGATACACTAGACTTCTAAAGGTAAAAGAATGCTCACCAAGTTAGTAGACAAATTCAATAAAGATGTTTTTTATAATTTATAAAATAAGTTATTAATGACAATAATTAAAACTAAAGAAAATTTATGATAATATTTAATTACCTTTTAACAACTGTATCTCGATGAACTATAAAATCAGGTCGTTCTCCGCCATTTCTTGGATCTTCGGTCATACGCCAAATTAAATAAACACGACAAGGTTTGCAAATCAAAAAATTTACATCAAGTTTAAATGGTATTTGATCATCATCAAGTATTTCTTGGAACTTTTTATGCTCATCTCTTATTAATTCAAATTTCAATGCAGCTCGATTTCCACACAATTGACATTGAAGCATAGTTAAAATCTATTAATTAAAATTATTTAGTATGTCAATATAAGCGATAATTTGAAATTTTAGAAATTTATTTATTATTTTAAGTTATAAATTATTTTTAAAATAGATTAAAATTAATGTTTAAAAGTAGAAAAAACTTACTTTTTCATAATGTAAGCAACATATGGGCATAGGCTCAGACTTGTACTGCCAATCACGTAAAACTACCTAAAAGTCATAAATGATAACTTTAATTTACATAATACATACTATATGTTCAATAGTCTTATTATTACTGTTTAATAATTATTAAATAGTAATAATATAATATTAATTATAATTAATTTATGTAATTTAATAAATATGAATACAGTTTAATTTTTAATATTTATTAAAGTAACCAACTGTATTTTATTTCTTCAAAGCTTTCATATCTTTATAAAAATGAAAAGTAATCCTTAACTAAAAATTTTATAATATATTATAAAATGTCAAGTAAGATGATAGTATACTATAGATATTTAAGTTTTTATTTCCTTTGAAACTGCTTGTCAACAATAGGAACTACACAACAATGGATAATTACAAAAGCAACTTCTATTTCCTTAATTATATCCAGATTGGTAATTCTTAGATTCAAAAATATAATATATAATTTTTATAATTGTCTTCAAATTATTATTGATTTTGATTTTTAATATGTTAAAAGTAATCATTTTTACCTACATTTTTTGTCCCTTAAAGTAGAAGTTTATAATAAAAAAAAAAAAAAATTATTACCATAACTATTAGCTCAACTTGCAAGTTTGAAATTGACATCATTTAATAGAAAAAAAAACGTATTGTTAAGATTAATAATATGCAGTCAGGAAATTTTATAATTACTATTTACAGTAAATTTATCAAAAAAAGCTCTAATTTTTTTGCATTTTTATTGTAACAGATCACTTAAATAGAAATCATTTCTAATTAACTTTTGGTGTTTAAAAAGATTCTACAATTGAAATATGTAAAACTTACTTTAAATAAAAAAATCAATAAAAAAAAAAAGTTGTTAAAAAGATCTACTCCATTGAGCGTATTATAAAATTTGATTATAATTGTACAAATTCATTGTTAAATTCAGGATAATGATAAAGTATATTACTTTAGCTTTAATTTAAGATACACATAAAAATATCAGACATTTCAGAACACTTTCAAAAGTTAAATTGAAAAAGCTTAACTTGTGTGCAAAAATTGCTTTTTTGAATCCCCCCTGTGGACAGGTTTAGAGTCAGATTTTTGAGGGTAATGTCTTCGATTAGATACGATTTGTGATCTTTTGACATATTGTTAAAAGAAATCGGTCTAGTGAAAGCTTGAAAAAATGGCAACTGACAAAAAAAAACACATAATGTTAAATTAATACCTTCTCAGCTTCGCGTGGAAGTTAAAAAGGTAAGGCACAGGATATAAATAAAAAACTTATTATTCAGCCTATTTAAAAAAGAAAGGAAGAAGTGAGCCTTGTAAAGGTATAGGACCATTATCCTCATTAACTTAACAGATAAGGCACTTACATGGATCTACTTTGAACTACAGACTTAAGTATAATGGATAGAAGTACCTACTTTTATAATCAGGAACAAAAAGTCATTGATCTTAGTTTGCTCAAGGGCGATAGTACAGAAGATAGAAGGTTGGAAAGTGTTTTTTGAAACCTTTATTTTTGATTATAGGCACATTCTTAAAAACTTAAAAGAATTTAACTGTAAACTTGCATTTAAAGAATGGCTGCTATAGCCATTATCAGAGCGATAAAAATCTTATGAACAGTGTATTACAGTGGTATTGGAGGCAGTAAATGGTCTAGCTTCTTTTCACTTAGAGGTTAAAGTTTATGATAAAACTTTAACACTAAAACTCCATTAGTTTTGGAATATGGATCATATGACATGGTAAAATACTAGAGTATACTGGAATATTCCTCGGATTGTATCAAACCTGTACTACAAAATAATATCCCTTACAAAGTTAAAAACATTTTCTAGTGAGGGAAATGAAAATACTTATGTTGAACCCATGGCAAGACTCAAAGAAAAATCCCTCAAATACTCAAAAACTGATGAAGAGAACAACACAGAAAAATATAGAGTTGCTCTGTGGTCCCCAGACAATCAAAAATACAAGTCAAGACTCTCAGTTTACAACGGAAGAATCTTAATAATATAACTATATATCAAATAAGTACTCTGACAGGATAGTCATTTGCTTCAATATCTTTACACAATGGGGTGCCAAAATCATCACTAAGTAGAATGTGTGGAACAGGAGAGAAAAATGCATTTCACATTATAAGTGACACTGGTCATATTAAGATATGAATACTTGGGAACTAGACTTTTTGTACACATACAGAATGATTATTTCAATGCTAGCCACTCAATTTCTCATAAAATAGTAAGTTTTTTAAACATTTTTTTTTGTTTTTGTTAGTTATATATGTATTTCAATTTATCTGTTATAAAATAATTTTTAGGTATTACCCCTTATATCTTATGAGGGTGACAACTTTATTTTTATAAATGACAACATACATATCAAACTAGCTTATAAAATAGAAAATGACTGGTTAACAACAATTTTTGGACCAATACTTTGGAAATTATTAGCATTTTAAAATATAAACTGAAAATGAAGCACTGATACTGAAATTTGTATTATTAATCATTTCTCAGCTGTAACCTTCCCACCTAGGTACAAAAATGTCAATATCTTCTGTGGAAACACTTATGTGAAGAAACCAAATAAATATAATTTGGTAGGAGTTGCGCACAGTATATTTACAGGTCTGAGTGTATAAAAGGGAACATATATATATTTTCAATGCTTGTTTTGTTAGCCCTTTAAAGGATACACTGAACAAGTAGTAAACTTCGATTTATACATCTGTTCTAAAATTTTCAAATTTGGAAAAGTAAAGAAACTACATGACCACCAATGCGAAAAAAAGTTTTTTATACTGTACTGCCAAATAAATTTTACAAAAAAGTTAATAAATTCCTTAATTTTTCAAAATTTAATATTCATACTAAAAAATTAATAATTAATTTTTTATTGTAAAGTATTTACCAAATCAAAATTTGTTAAAATTTATAATAAAATATTTTGAATATTTCAATTTATAAGAATATATAAAAAAAACTTACACTTGAATTTTTTTCCAATTTTTTAAGTTTTTCTATTACTTGTGGCTTTAAAATATTAGTTGATTTACGAATGCAACCCAGAATAATACAACCAGATTGTTGAATTGATCTTTTCCAACTTCGTCTCTCAATAGATCGAAAACATGCATCACATAGACACGAATCTGGTCCAATTAAATGAGTAACATCTAAATATAATAACATAAAAGAATTTTGATACAATTTACCATATTTATGAGATAACTTATAATTAAAATATAAATGTCATTATTTTATACATCATGATTAAGAAACAGATTTATATGCATTTATAAATTTGGTTTGAGAGAACCCAAGTTTAAGTAACTTTGTTATAGGATTATATATGTTAGCATCGACTAACTTTTTGTATTAGAGAGGAATAAACTTCCTCTTTTCTTCTAAAACTATACCCTTGTTTATAACACATATAATTAAATCTCGAATGGATCAATAAAAATTTGTACGGGCTAATGATGATTTAATAATAACTTAAGAAAATGTATAAATACATATAAATCCATTTAATATAATATTCAATATAAATTAGTTAAATAGCAACAGTCAAATGAAAAATAAAAAAACGAAATTATATAAACAATAAAAAAATTATCTATAATACATTTTTCAAACTACAAATAATCTATCATGTAATTTTTTATTACTTTAAATTATAAATAAAAAATTATGCCTTATTTACTATTTTTATTACTATATTAATAAAAATGTCATATTAAATATTAAATCAAATTCATAATGAAGTAATATCTTAAATGTGGAATGATTGCTTTTTTTATAACATCATTTAATTATAAATTAAAATTAATGTGTAAATCAAAATTTGAATGATTGTAAAAAAAATTAAATTCTTACTCTCTAAACAGGCTATCTGTTTTTCAGAACTTTTTATCTGAGCTATATGACAAGGGGTATCATATAAACCAAATTTCCCATGACAATAACTACATTTAAGCATACAAGTACGTCCTGGATGAAAAGATGAACCAGATGTTCTTTCTGGTATTAGAATAGGTCTAAAAGCAGACATTTTTTAATTAAAATTCTGCTTAGATAGCTATTCTACATTTTAATAAAATACTTACACAGCACTATGCTTTTCATCTTTGTCTTTTGAATATTCTAATAAAAATGATCTTCTAAGCTTTTCTACAATAAATTAATTTAAACACACAGTAATTACAAAATTACACTATTAATTATTATTTTCAAGAAATTGTTTGCTACGGTTTAAAAAGTTAAATTTATTTATAAACTAAAATGAATATTAAAAATTAAATATGTAATATTAGAAGTGAAAATGACGATATATTTAGCCTTAATAGGTAAAAAGCATATAAGTAAACTATTTTAATAAAAATCAGATATTAGAGTCAAAATACTTCTAAATTTCTGATAAATTAATTATTCAATTATCTCTGATATCATTGAGTTATTATAACTTCAAAATTGATTGTCAGTCAATTTTTTTATTTTGAAAATATGTCAATAACCTTTCTTAATTAAAATATGTAAAAATGATTAACATCTTTGTAAATAAAGCATTTGATAATTCTATTAGACAAAAAGAAAAAGTATTTTTAATTCCTGTTAATAACAAAAATATTGCTGATGTCGTTTTACCTATTAAAAGCACTTAAAAATATTTTCCTTTTTTATTTTAATATTTTAGTGGTACTTAATTTAATAAAATATTATTTCATTCTACCTGAACTAGATCTAATTAATCCACGATCAAGATGCTCTTCAGTAGTTTTAAGTGGTGACTTCTAAGTATTTAAAAAATTAATAAGTATAAATATTTTAATTCTATTCAATGTTAACAGCTGAACTAAATTAATTAATAGTCATTTTTTAAAAGGATACATTAATAATTTATCCTAATACATTATCTATAATGCACTTAGTAGGAAAATTGATATATATATATATATATATGAGATAATTCTAAAATCTAAGACTCCTCAAACTATATCTAGTCAAAATTATTCTTTTACAATGTTGTTGTAGTATAGTTTGCTTTCTATATAACAGGGTCACAGATTTTTTTAACCGTTATATAAATTAAACTATAATAATTTACAAAATTAGTTCCAAACTAATATTGAGATTAAATTTTACTAATTTTCATTTAAACCACCCAAAATTAAAAATAAAATTTAATCATGATTTCTACGATTAAAAAATATATATATATTTCTTATAAAATTGATTTTAAAAATAAATTATATAAAAATAATGAAAAACAGTTTCATTTTATAAAATAGAACCTACTATAAATCCAGTTAGATCACATTTTTCAAGATTTTAATACAATTTGTACTAGTTGATGACGTGTTTGGAATAACTTAACAAAATGTATAAATTCATATAAATCCGGAATTTACTAATAACTTAAATAATCCTTAAGCAAAGTCAGATTATCTCACTCACATAAATAAATTTAAATAAACTAAGAATTTTTTTTTTTTAGTGAAAAATATTCAAAATGAAATAAAAAAATATTTTTACCTTTTGAATAGTCACATTTTTCTTCAACATTTCATCATTAGTATCTTTTTTATTTGATTTTGCCACTTTATGAACATCTATTAATCCTAGTGCTGAAATAAAAAAATTTTTTCTACGAATGGTACTTCTATCTAATTCTAATTTAGAATTAGAATCCCTAGCTAGTGCTGATTTTTTATTTAAACTTTCATCTATATCTATTCTATCAGTAGTTTTTAAAATTTCAGACAATTTATTTTCTGAACTTTTATTGAAATGTATACTATCAGAATCAATTTGTGAGTTATGTGAAAGTGTTAGTTTGTTTAAACAACGACCTTTTTGATCTTTATTTGATTTAGATAGTTTATTTTCAGGTAGCTTTAGAAAAGCAGGAGACTTTACTAAAAGCTTAGGTGTGACTAACCTAAGAGAAAAAATTTTATTGGTTAACGTTTCTGGTTCAGATGTTTCAGTACTAGTTTTATTTGATTCATCAATTGAGTTACTATTGTTTGATGACATTTGAATATCATTATTTGTCTCATTTGCATTATTATTAGAATACTGAACTAGATTTATTAAAGGACTGTAGTTAACCTTAATGTGATTAGGTTCTTCATCTCTATTACTAAATGATTGAGAAATGTCATTAAATAAATTTGATGAAACATTAAAACTATCAGATTTTTCAGTTACAGATTCTAACGTGAGATCATTTCCATTGTTAGAATATTCCATATACTCTTTTTTATAAATAACTTCTTTCATAATCTCATTTTTATGTTTTTTTAAAGAAATATCACTGAATGTTATATCTACTTTATCATTATTTAATCCAACTTCAATATCAGATACTTGTTTGCAAAATCTTTTGTTAGTCTTTTTATCTTCCATATTAAATTCACAAGGTGATAATTTAGATCTGCTTCGAGTAAGTCTACTAGATTCATTAGAACTTTTGCTTTTTAATGACTTATCATTTATAGGAGTTTCAATGATATTCTTAATTGTTTGTTCAACTTGATTATTTAATTTATTTCTACTTATAATTTTACGTTTTTCCCTAAGAAGATTATCATTAGAAACATGTAAGGAATTTTCATCCATTTTTTTCTTATTTTCTTCAATGAGTTTATCTATTGGCGACATTCGAATCATGTACTCAGACTGTACAGCATACTTAACATGACAATTATTTAACTCATTATATGCAATCCTCACTTTTTTAGTATATTTCATTAAATCATCAGGATAATAAAATAATTTTTCATGACATCTAAGTATACTTTTATCTGAATACCAATCACAATTATCAATTTTTTCCATGGAATATAGAAATAATCTGAAAAATATAGGTTTCAAATTCAAAGAGATTTAAAATTTTTTTTGAATATTTTTCAAATTTAATATTTAAATAATTTATTTACAATATATTTGTCATATTTATCAAATAGTAAATAGACCAGATATTCAAGTTACTTTCTATATATAATTTTGTATAATATACAGTATATTGTTCATTAATAAATTTAGACTATTTTTTTATTTTAAGATAGTTTATAGTATTAGGTTTTTCCCTTTTTTTAGTATTACTATATATATATATATGATATATATATTTGTCATAAAAAAACTAAATTTTCCAATTTGGGTACTGATTTTGGATTTTTTGTTATATTAGTTATGGACTTAGTTTATGTAAGGTAATTTATGGTTTATAAACATACTCTTTGGTAGAAGCTATAATGACCCCAGATGAGCTATAAAAGTGAAATATAGGATAATTAAAGGTATCCAATATTGTTGTTTATTTTAATATTACAATGGAATTTAGTATTTTGGTTCAAAATCCTTATTTATACAATACAATAAGAGTTATATTACTTAAAATAAGTAATTGTTTAATAAAACAATAATTATAGTAGTTGTTATTAAAATCTAGAAATCTGAGAACTTACAACTGACATATATAAAATTTAATTTTTATTTATTAAACAATTTAATTAGTATATATTTAATTAATAATATTAAGAATTTAAAAATTAGAATATTAACATGCATATCTTTTCTTTTTTTATACATCACTTTATTTGAATATTTATTATCTATACAATAAAAAAAAAATTCTAATTATTATAACTAATGTTTTTATTATATAAGTTATATATTAATTAATAAGACTAATAGAATAATCTCGCCTAAAAATAATTGGTCAAATATCTAGATACTTCATTTAAATATATAAATATTTTATACTAACAGCTATTTTTGAATGTATCATCTTTAAGCTGATTATTTTAAAGTCATTCATATTAAATATAATGTATCACACAATTTTAACAGAATATAATTTTCTCGTTTGAAGTATTGATTTATGAAATATAAAAACTATTTAAAAAAATTTTAATGAAAAATATAAAAATTTTAGTTGGTGGCATTTAACAAATGGTAAATATTAAACGTCCATTTTATCCTTTATTAAATTTATAAATAAATCTAATAGTACACAATAATATCTCATGTACATTTTAACAGATGTTTTATCGAAAAATCAGTTTTAAATTGATTACAACAAAATTCTGCAAAATTAAATTTTGGTTTCAAAAATATTAAAAAATACGAATTCCTCGTCATTAAATAACTTGAATTTGAAACTACAATCAATACTTACATAAAAATAGTAAATTACCACCTTTGATTTTGCACACGCCAACTTTCACAGCGGGTTTTTACAATTAACAATAATAACAAAATTAGTAAATTTGGGGCCATGGCCGTTTCTTATCTTGTACTAATAGTATACTAGCACGCACCCCGAACATGGTTATAATGCTTATCAGTAGAACAAGAACGATAGAATTTTGGTACAGATACAGGTCTATGGATATTGTCGCGGTTTAATTACAAAGAGGCTGTATACTTTCATTAATTCGTAAAATGAATATTATATTATAATATAATTATATATATATATATTAAATAAACTACAATATCTACTATCAAATTTAGATTTTTTTGAAATAATATTTATTAAATCTAATAAATATAAAAAATTTCATTAAAACCGAAGAGATAGTTAAATTGGTGGGATAAAAAACATGTAAACATATTAAATTTAAATCGAATTTCATACTTCTATAAATATTTTTTTAATACGATAGTTAAATTAATAAAATAATTATTCGAAGTAAAAAGGATACTAAAACTGTTAATTTTCTACCCCTATCCCATCTTATCTTATGGCTAAAAAAATTAATTTAATAACAAAAAATAAAAATGTTACAATTCTTATTTCATCATACTAATTAATAAAAAGATAATATAGTTATATTAGCTGAATTCCTATAATTGTTCAGAAGAGTAATAAAATAAATTAGCAATACATATTTAAATAAATTATTAATTTTTTTGTTCATTCATGAAACATTAAATCGCTTAACTATTATTATTCAATATTAATAATATAAATATAATTAATTCTGTATAAAGATAAATGTAGTTCATACTTAATGATACGGTGATAAATCCCCTCTCAAAACATGATAATTAATCATGTTTTAATTAATGTGTTAAAATTAAATAATTATAAATTTTTAACAATAATCGAAACAGACATATTGTAACCCAAAACTTCTATTAAACTACTAATATAAGCTACAAGAATATAACATACCTTGGTATTTATTTAATAAAAAAATGTTAAGATTAAGTGACGACAATTTTAAAAGATAAAATAATAATATAAAAACACATATCACTAAATTTTATTTAAATATTTTATCGAAATAATTATTAAGTAATACGCTATACTGTTTTAAAAAATACGTAATATGGAAAATGTATTAAGTGTTATGTAAGTATAACCAACATGCAAATAAAAATTTATTAGACAAATTCTATAACAAAAGTAAACGAATTATAGCACAATTTCAGTTGTACATTACTAGTGAAAATCGTCTAAAACCATGATTGATTGACTACAAAAATAATTTAAAACATATAACAATAGTATTAACAAAACATAACCTAAAATAATTTTAACAAAACTTATCGTTAATTTTAGCTTGCATTACTTACAATACTCAAGATGTAGATAAAAATAAGATTATTACGATCATATAATATGATTACTAATCAGTGGCATATTATGTAGCTCTCCTTTAGTTGTGCTAAACCAATATTATCTGTAAGAAATCAATTAAAGATTTCATTAAACTTTTTGTAATTTAAAAAGTCTTAATGTTTAAGTTATAATTGACCTTACAAATTTTTTGTAAGCTCAAAAATAAGGTTGTTTTGAAATTTTATAAAAAATATAAATACAAATTTTTATTTATTAAAAACAAATAATAAAAACCCAGCACAGGGGGGTCACGACACAGTGGTGACGTGGCATAGTTGGATCAAGTATAATGATATCTGACAGTGATTAAAATCACTATAAAAAAAAAAAAACGCTTCGATGCAAATCTTTAAATAGTGTTTAATTTTAAAAATTGGTGGATTATTCCAAAAGCTACATGATTTGCTATTTCCTTATTAATATCCTGATTAAGATAAAGTATAGCGAATGAAAAAGAGATATAAATATTATATCTCATAAAAAATGGCGTTGATCCATACACTTTTCAATAAATTATAGTATTATAAAGTTAAAAATATAAAAAAGGATTTTTTTACAAAAATTGTATTTTTTTTTACAAAAATCATATTTTTTTTTTATCAATTTTGATGTCTGTTTTCACCGCGAAGACAAAATAAAGTCCGAATTTTTTTTTAGCTTCGATGCGAAGCTAAAAAGGTAATAATTTTACCATGATGTGTTTTTTTTTTTTTTTCTGTTGCCACTTTTTTTCAGCTCTCACTGGACNTTTTTTTTTTTTTTTTGTCTGTTGCCACTTTTTTTCAGCTCTCACTGGACCGATTTCTTTCAACAATACGTCAAAAGATCACAAATCGTATCTAGTTGAAGACATTACACCTAAATAATTTATAAATTTTCCCTCGTTCCCGGCAAATGGGGGATATCTTCAAAAAAATTACAATTATCGGTAAATTTTGTCATTTTTTTCACTTTTTTTTTTTAAAACTTTCATAACTTTTTCAAAAATCAACAAAACAATTTAAAATTTTTTTATATTAAAACCATAGATATTTCCCTTTCATCTGATATCATTTTTTTGACAATTTAACATTTAACCTGCTCACAGGGGGAGAATTTAAAATAGTAACTTTTTTACAAAAACTAACTTTTTCAAATTAATTTTTGAAAGTGTTCCGGAAATAATGCGTCATTTAGACATATATCAAATCAAAGGTTATGTCATGTACTATAAAATGAAAAAAAAAATTTGTCTAGACACCTTATCATCTATGAGTAAAATATCACTGAAATTAAACAAAAAATGTAATATTTGTAAAAAAAAGCATCTCCTAACGTGATGTTTTTTGTATTTTAAACAACCATAACTTATTGAAATATTAACAAAAACAAAATAATATGTTAGTTTCGATGCGAAGCTGAGAAGGTATTGGTTTTACTATGTGTTTTTTTTTTTTTTTTTTTTTTACCACTTTTTCTCAGCTCTGACCGAACAGATTTCTTTCAACGATACGTCGACATATTTTCAATTTTTTTTACTAAAAACTGCCGTAACTTTTTTAAAAATATACATATCAATATAATTCTTTTTTTATAGGTGCTTGATGTCTTTATTTATCATTTGGTATATTTTTTTTGTAAATTTGACCCTTTATCTGCCCACAGGGGGGATTTAAAATGACAACTTTTTCACAAAAAAATAACTTTTTCAACTTAACTTTTGAAAATGTTCCGGAAGGTCTGACACTTTTATATATATCTTAAATTAAAGCTAATGTAATGTACTTTAATTTGAAAAAAAAAAATTGACCTCTGGACTTGTCTTCATGGTGAAAACGGCTACCAAATGCTATTTTTGTGGAAAAATTCTAGATTTTATAATTTACATTTTTAACTTTATTATGCTATAACTTTTTGAAAAATATATGGATCAATACAATTTTTTATGAGAAATAATATTTTTTAATAATCTCTTTTTCATTTGACTTACTATATCTTAATCAGGATATTAATAATGAACTAGTAGATCATGTAACTTTTGGAATAATACACCCATTATTTTAAAATTAAACACTATCTAAAGATTTGCGTCGAAGCGTTTTTTTTTTGATAGTGATTTTAATCACTGTCAGATATCATTATACTTGATCCAACTATGCCACATCACCACTGTGCCGCAACCCTCCTGTGCTGGGTTTTTTTTATATTGAAACCTTAGGTAATTTCCTTTCATTTGATATCATTTTTTTTGAAAATCCAACACTTATTCTACTCACAGAGGGGAATTTAAAATAGCAACTTTTATGCAAAAACTAACTTTTTCAACTTAATTTTTGAAAATGTTCCAGAAATATTCAGAGTTTTTTTTTATCTTAAATTAAAGCTTATATTATATACTTTACTATGAAAAAAAAAAATTAGAAATATACATTTTCTTCTAGGTGAAAATGGATACCGTATTAAAAAATATGCTATTTTTGTGTTAAAATTCTGGGTTTTGTATTTTATTATATTTTAAAATATCTTACAAGGGGAATACACTGACTTTCATAATTATTATATAATTTAATTGACATAGAATAAAGTTCATAGGACATAAAAAATTAATATTTTGCATTTTTTTTTGAGTTAGAAAAAAATGTTCAAATTATTTGATCTTTATATCATTTAGATTTAATAACTTCAATAAATATCAAGGATCCCATTACTATTGTCTCTCCTCGTGAAAAGTAATTTCTTATTCATGTTAGTATTATTAACACGCTTATATTAGTTTCACGTGTATGTTTGTTTGTTGTTTGTTGTTTGTTTGTAAGTTTGTAACTCCACGCGGCACGTGTTATTATGTCGCGTATCCCGTCGTGTATGACCTTGAGACTATACTGTTGTAATGCATTCGCCCCACCCCGCTCACCAATCGTAGACAACAATATTTTCTAACCCGTAGACGCGTGCGTCATCAATTATGTATATATATAACAAATTTTTATTGTAATTGACACGGCCCGCGTCGTTTCATTATACACAATGCCCCACGACTCGTGCCACCTTTATCAGCCGTCGCCCTATTATGAGTATTTGACTGACCAACACCTCGCGTTATACGCCGCTGTGCAAAGTCCAGCAAGCGCCGCACGTCCGACGACATTCCGCCGCAAATGATACCGTAGTCTTCTTCCCGTTGTCAAAGTGACAACGTCTACGATTCGATCCGCACTCGCGCGCCATCGCTATCAACGCTGCTAACCTGTTGACGTCCGAGGAACACGCCGGACAACGCGTCGTCGATGCCAGCGAAAGTG